CGGGGTGGGGTTGGCTGGGGAGCAGCGATCGCTGCTCGGGAACTGTCTGGGTATCGGTCGGCAGGTGGTGAGCAATTGCATTGTGCATCACTTGCTTTCTATGTTATTATTACTATTATTATTGTATTGTTATTATTATCATTACTATTTTACTTTATTTCAATTATTAAACTGTTCTTATCTCAACCCAGGAGTGTTTCTCACTCTTACTCCTCCAATTCTCTGCCCCATCCCACCGGGGTAGGGGGAGTGAGCGAGCGGCTGCGTGGTGCTTGGTTGCTGGCTGGGGCTAAACCACGACAGCTGGTTAGAGAAGGGATGCAGGTCTGCACGTCATATATGTACACACGCGGATGCACGCTTATATTCCATGCAGGTCTGATGCTGCCAGATGCTGGACTCCCTTCTCCTTTGCAATAGTAGAATGCTTAACACTGAAAATTGTAGTTTACAATGCAGTCCTTTTCTTCTCAAGTGTTTGGGTTTTTTTTGTAAACATACTGAAATGCTCTAAAATATTACATTCAGGTCACCATTTTCAGGACTCTTCCTAAGTATGCTTCATTACAAAGACCAGTATCAGCTCAATAACATTTCTTTCTCTATTAAACAAGCTGTCTGGCCTCACTGACACTGACTGGGAGGTGACTGTAGGAGGTTTTAGCTACCCACAACAAACATCAGGTTATTCACCAGTGCAGATCACCATGTCCTGGCAAAGTCTGCTCATGTGGTTTTAAGTTATCATCTTCCACTGATGGCATCACTGCCAGAGATTATCTCCTCCACAGCAGAGCTGGCAGAGGGCCTTGTAACCACATCTCAGTTGCAAATGAGAGAGGAAGAGCTTACTTGGGACAAAGATGGTGCTTTCTGCTGCCTGCTCTGCCTGCCTACAGGGACAGCTTAGCTCTTTGTGAAATAGGTCTCAAAAAGCAAGTTGTAGCTTGACAATTTAAAGATAATGAAAATCAATGCCAGTTTACTTTAATGTTCTGGCCTTTAACTGCAGCAGTTTAGCTTCCATTTTAAAACCAGGGGTGAAAATTTGAACCGTGACAGCCTCTACAGCCAGGGCTTTTGGTGAGCCAGAGCTCTTCACTCCAGCTCCTTCAGGCTGGACTTTGCAGATGAAGCATGGGCACATGAGAGTCATCTTCTAGCATCAACTCTGCAAAGAGATGCCAAAACCAACACCAAAATCCCTAAACAATGTAAGATCCACAGTCTAGACAACTGCAGCCAGAATGATACATTCCTTAAAAATATACATTTTGTATTTTTAATTCATTCTCTTCTCTTTAGAAATACACACTTTTAAACAATGTCTGTTATGCACTCCTTACCATGAGATGCTATACATAAACATACATATCATTTATAGGTCTAAATATAAAAAACACTTTCAGAGAAGTAAGTGTTTGTACAGAAGTAGCACACACGATTGGAAAAAAAAGCCACAAACCCCTTCATCCTAGCTCTGGATTAGATCTGTATCAGAACATGCGTACACAAAGCCAATTCAGACTGATTTTTATAGGAAGTGTGGAGCATAAATGAAGAACGGCGTACTGTGGATTTTGCACAGATTCTGATAATTTCTGGTTAAAAGCCTTGTTATTGAAAGTATTATTCAAGTGTTAAATATGCCACACTTTGGGATGAGTGTGCGCTAAAAAAATTCTTAACAGACCTGTTAATTGAACTTCATGAGTTTCTTCAGAATATAACTATGTGGAGCCACTTTGATTCTTAAGTTTCTAGCTGGCAGGAAAAACAAGCCCTAATTGTGTCAGAGTTGAGCTGCTGAAGAGATCAGTGTTTTATGAAGGATGTAAAAATGGTTCACAGTTACTAAAATAGAAATCTTCGTTTACTTTTCAAGGAGGGAAGGAAGGAACATTTATAGCTTGGAGTTTAGAAGTGGGCAATTAAGAAATACACCAATAAATTAATGTTCCTAGGATATTTTCTGGCTTGTGGGAAGACAGTAATAAACATATCTGGGAATTTTCCAGCTGAAAGCTTGTAAGTTGGATCTTACTGGGTATGGTTTTAATCCTGAAATTACATAACGTTTTCTTCCATGTGAACTCCAAAGACACTATTCTCCTCCTAGATTTTTTTTTAAGATGGCCTAAACACATATTCAATAGGATGCAGTCTTTTATCAGCTCATGTTTGCCCCTGAAAAGCCCCCATAAGGAGAATGATACAATCACGTCTACTTCTTCAGTGCTTATGGTACCACACTGTAACAGACTTTGGCATCACAAACAGCTGAATATATCTGATTTCAAAGCAGTATCAGGTCAACAAGCATAAAGAATGAGGTTTACTACCTTTTGAGTGGGTCTTTTTAGCTACCCCCAAAGGCAATGCTGACAACCGCTCACGCAGATGCAAGGGTTTTATACTCACCAGCATCAAGACTACCAGTAGCCGCAGTCCAGCCCATGACAGGGGGAATGGCACCGACGACAGCTCCCACCCACGTGTTGGCAATGCTCATTCTCTTCATGGGTGTGTAACAACACGTATACAAGAAAATGTTGAAGGCTCCCAGGGCCCCCGTGAGAGGGTTTACTCCCAGTGTCAGCAGGGCGATTCCCGGGACTCCGCAGGAGGCAGCAAAACAGACGGCGAGCAGGGGGCTGCAGGCAGAGAGCAGGAGACACACACTGAGCAAAAGACTCTGTCTTAAAGAATGACTGCTGCCCCTCTCCTTTTGCTTCCTCCCAAAAATTAAGACTAGATTTTTGTTATGGTTTTACCTGCCCAGCCCAAATTTTCCCATTTGACTCTCTATCGTAAGGGAAGTGTTTCTAAAAAGTTAAGACAATCTTGCCGCAGATTTGCAGTGATAGGTGATTCTTATTCTTGTGATCACTGTGTTCACTAAATAAATTCAACCTGTGCAGGTCAGTAGCCCTTACAGAGAACTGGTGCTTCCAGCAGATCTTTCTCTTCCGTTTTAATCTTAGTAAATTTTGACCTCTGGAAAAAGCACTCAGGGTTTAGAGGGAATGAGAATGGTTGTGGCTTGTCAGATTTTTAACTGATTGCAATTATCCAAGGGATCCTTTGACTGAAATGCAACAGGGTTAGACAGAAAATTAGGAAGCATTTACCAGGAAGAAGAGTACATTCAATCATCTTGAAATTATGTCAACAGGAATAAAGTATTTTTTGGCTTTACCGAAAAAAGGCTGAATTTTCTACATTCCCATTTAGCTTAGGCACTGTGCTAAGCAGGGGTAGCGCACCAAAGCAACTTCTGGCAAGAGAATCAAAATTAAAACTTATTATCTTCTAAGTGTGACTGGAATTAACTGAAGATATTTTAGGTTTGGCCAAAAGCAGCAAACAACAAAGATGCAAATTATTTCTGTTGATTTCCAATGCGCATCAGCTAAGAGCTCAGGGAAGGTTGGAAATTCCTGTTAAAATCCATAAGAAAGTGGCTGAAGCTATGTAAACTTCTGCTAGGAAGTTCCACAATAAACATCCAAATATGATGAACTACCTTCAAGACCACACTTCACATGCAGCACTGTGATGCAACCCTAAGGAAGCTTTATTTGTGTTCCCTTGCACCAGATCAGCATTTGCTGCTGGTGGAGATCTCCTTACATATGCTTGTTCGAAGGTGTTTGGTATGATGGAAACAGAGATCTAAATGCCACTAAGAAATAATATGGTGTGGGAGACCTCTGGAAGGGAGGAAAATGCCATTAACTGAATTGCATTTAATAACCCATGTGGCTAAATACACACTTCTAGTCATTCATATAAGAGCAGAAAATACGTGTGCTTGCAACAAATGTCTCTGCATGAAGTTTAGCTTTACACGCTTTGTGTAATTGAAAACTATGCAGCCTTTGTATTCTATGATCACTCTGCCCTCTGGCCAAATCCTTAACCCTAAAATACGTGTTGCAAGCTATGCTCCAACCCTCATAAGAAAAAATTGCTGGTGGGGATGAATTTTATGGGAGTTCTATCAGCAAAAAATCCTAGCATTCAAATTTTGATTTTTAAGACCTTTGTGGGCCAATATGGTATGGAGATCCTAAATAACTGGAAATAAAATGAGGAAATCTCACACTAAAGATCTGCCTTCAATTTAAATTAAATTGACTAAGTCATTTTATCCAGCTTTTGAAAACTGAGTGTGCACAGAGCACATTTACGCTCCAGCATTACCAGTCTTGGTGTTACTAATATATAAGGAATAGAGGCAGGGAACATCATTGCCATCCATTGACAATGAGATGTATAAAATTTGAGACTGTTTTCAGGAGCCGTACTGTGAAAGGAGCCATACGGTGCTGTGCCCTCTGGTTTTGCAGCTAGCGGTGCTCTTTTGCAGAAAGGCAGCAAAACACAATCTGTACTGTAAACTGTCTCAACGCCAACTACAAATGCCGTGTTTCCTAGACATTGTCCCTCCGTAGCGAAAGCCTGACTAGGTTTGGTTAAACAAATGTATCTTGACTGATTCCTGAATAAAATACAGTCAGATGGTAAACACCAGATTTATAAAATACAAACTCTCGAGGTGACAAAAGACCAGCATGACCCTATGAGGCTGGGCTACGCTACCAACATTTGCTCCCACAGGGCTCACAGACATAAATGAGGACACAGTTTGACCTAATGCAATGAGCGCTCTTCTCACTAATCAAGAGTGAACACTCATCTACGTGCCTCCAATTCAAGTGAATGCTACACACCATAAGCTGGTTACTGAGCGGCAGACACCAGCCCTTCGTGCCTGTTAGGGGAAGGGCAGGCGAAAGCTGGGAGCGCAAAGCCCTCCTCCATGGTTGAACTCAGCATTGCATCTCTCCCACGTTGCTTCCCCGCAGCAGCGATAACCCTGCAGTGCCAGCCCTGATACCAGCTGCGCGCTGCCTTCACGTCCAACTGACAGATCGGAAAAGTACCTTTAAAAGATGAGGCTTTATCAAAAGGGAAGGGTAAAGTTATATGCTCCAAAAAAGTTGTTCTGTTCCTGGTGGATGAAACCAGAGTTTTGTTTCTCAGTTTCTTTCTTTTTGCCTCTTTAAAAGGAAGTTCCTGGAGGCAGTTTGATTAGTGTCTGTAATGGTCCTAATTCTCAGGGGAAGGCATCAACTCAGTGATGGCTGTTCTTCATAAGCAGTTGAACTACATTACTTTTACACATCCTGAAAGTATCACAATTTCTGCTTCTCTCCAGTGTTTCCTTAACAATCAAGGAACTGTAAAATTCTTCTAGACAAGTAGCTGTCCAACTTACAAATGCCTGCCGCTAAAATTCCAACTGAGATCAGAAACTCAAACAGTGATGATTTTATGACTCATCTTTGTTATTGCTGCCCTTCAAAACACTATTTGGTGTTACAAAGAGACTGCAATAAGAAATTAGGACCTTGCTTTCTTGGTGAGACATGAGGTGGAGGAGAATTCAACGCATTCTCACGTAAATATACCATGTTTATAAGGTCTAGGAGAAGTATAAGCAACTCCTTACTGGGAAAGAGAGTATTTGAGGAAAAGGTAGAGACAGTTCAGTCACTGATGCAGTTTTTTTTCTGCTTCAGTGACTCTCAGGGTTTTAAATCGGTTTAAATCATGGCAGTTTAAGGGGTATCCTGATTTCTACTAGTTTATGGTCTTCTAGGGACCATTATGCATCTCCATGCTCACATTAGGTCTGTCAAAACTCAGGCATGTGGTGTGAGGCTCATTGATTTGATGCACGCTCCTTTGCCGGGCTGCCTGTATCTCACTGAGGCAGCACAGATCAGGATCCCATTCTGGAGCACGAGAAAGGCTGGGATGCCGAGCTGTCACTGGATTTGCCCCATCACCTAATGTCCATGCAGTTCCTTCTACTACAGCCTCGTGCCATCATGCAGTACAGCGTGCATCACAGGAGCATCAGTCTTGGGTAACCCAACGTTGGGGAATTCTCACATGGTGGTCAAAAGTGGCTGCGGGGTCTCTGCTGGTTTCCTTCATCCTTAAACCACCCCATGCAGGAAGTGCAGGCTGATGACAGACGCTGGTACATAAGCCTCATTTCACTTGGGCGTTCACTTATGCTAAGGGAATTGGTCCCATGGGAAAAAAAAGGCAATCTTCCACAGGAAAACTGGCCAAGAAGCTAGCTCAGAAAGCAAACATATGGAGTAAGAAACTAGGTTTTATGATGGATTCTTGGGAGGAGTTGGTTGCAGTTATGTGGCTGATTAAAATCAGACTCTGGAAAAATACTGGAAGTGCCAAATGAGTTCTCTTCAAATTTCAACTCTAAAATACCCAGTGTGTCACCACATAGGACACCTCCTAAAGGAAAACCAAAGACTCATAGTTCTGCCTTGTCCCTCTTCTCTGCTTTCTTGAGACTGCACATGCCAAAGTCTGCCTAATAATACTACTAAAAGACGTTCACCTTCAACTAAAAGCTTTTGAGAGAGCTTCAGCTTGAATAGTGAATAATCAAACCTTTCCTGATCCAAAGAAAATGTGCTGATACTTCTCCCAGAGTTCACCCAAGATGGACCCTCCCCAGTCACACTCCACTGAGAGCAATCAAGAGGAGGAGGAGGAGGAGAAGGAGGAGGAAAAGAGACCCAGGTTTCTCCTCATTCAGCTCAAGCTTTTGCTGACACAGAGGCGTCTGGAGAGGTGCTATCAGTCAGGCTGGGGAGGATTGCTGAAGGACAGCCCAGAGCTGCTGTGGAGGAACAGGGAGCAGGCAGGAGGAATCCCATGTGGTGATATTCAGGCATCCCTTGCACACACAACTGCAAGGCACCCGCATGGACCCTCACTCACCATATCGTTCACAGCAGCTTTAGACAACGCAGCAGCCTATTTTAATTCATGTGCAATAGCATAATCTCCGAATCTAGTTGCCACTTACAGATGAACTGGTTATACGTATATGATGATCTTACATACATGTGCATGAAATATATTTATTTAATAGGCTCCAGAGTCATGGATAATAGTACTTATTGACTCACAGCATTACTTGGAAAAGTTGGGAGGGGAAAACAAATTAAAGCATTTGCCCATCTATAAAATTAATGTACTGTTTTACCTATTTCACAGCAGCATTAGCAAGCTTAATGTCTACAAAGATCAATAGCATCACTACTGCACATGCTTTTCTATGCTGTCTTTGGCAAAACATTTTGTGAAGATGACTGTCAAAGTACAGTTCAAACTACAATTTAAAAAACAGTATTAATAAAGGGAAAAAGTTTAAAGAAGATTTTGTTTGAAAAAAACAATCAAGAAGGTAGACAAAATTCCCTCTTACAACCTATTAATATATAGAAATATGGAAAATTCCTGTATCACCATGTAATGCTTCGACATATCTCTGTGAATATATTGACACATATACAGACACAAAACCTATACGAATCCTGAATAGGTGCATTCACGCAATCAGCAGTTGTATGCAATTCATGTTAGATGTTATGTAAATATGTAAGAAACTTAATTTGTGACCTTGTGTTAATGGGAAATTGGGCATGCAAACCATATTTACATAAAAGCATAAGCCTAAATGTGTCCATTTAAGACTGCCTGCATATTTTTCAGGTGAAGCTTAAGTGTTTATATTTGAAAATTAGATTCAAAGCCTAATACA